TTTATGTGTCTTCATTAGTGAATAAATGAACATTTTTTCCAGTCGAATCTATCTCATCACTTCTGGCTTCAGTTTAAGCAATCTGCATAAGCTATGTAAGACTGGAAGTCAACTTCCATTTTACCATGCTTTGAGATAGGCGACATAACATTTCACATCACATATACTATGCTATCCATGATCCACAGAACTTTTTTAATCATCTTCTTTTGTATCAGTATTCATATATTTACCAATTATACGAACTTCATTAGTTCAATATTATAACCTAAAATAAACACTAATCACCAATGAAGTTGTTGTAATTATAGTAAAAACAACAGTAGGGAAACAAGTAAATCTTCAAATATAATATACTTATATCAAAAATCTGCATTAAACCCCTACATTTTACTACATTATGGATAAACTCAGGTTGTGCTAATTGCAATATCAATTTTAATTCGTGAAATTAAAGCACTGGTTAATGCTAAATTAGAAGTTCCAGAAGAGACTCTACAATTACTAGGATTATAACAAAATATATAAGATGTAACTTTACCTACCAAAGAGGAAAAAATATAACTTTAGCAAAACCAATAATATAGATCAAAGAGAAGAGATAAAACAACAAATAGTTTTGTTAACCAAACTTGATTATTCACAGAGGGAGATATTAGAGATGGTATTAATCATCGAAATGCACATTGTATTAAGTGGATGAGTACTTGTAAATTTGTAATGTAGACCAGCCACACTTTTATAGAACGAAGAATTGAATGGCTAAGAAACAATATAGTCATAAAATACGCATAATCAAAATGCAACGCTGAGATGGATGTTAAAAGACAATAAATAACTAAACTAAAACTGAAAACATTTTACAATAATTGAAGTGAAACCAATTGAAGAACTTAACTCAACAAAGCTTTCTTCTAACTATTTGGAGTGGGCAACTCCAATCCTATTTAATCATTCCACTTTATGTAAAATTGTAAATTTTTTTTTTTTTTTGGATAAGTATGTAAAATTGTAACTTCATTAAATCACACACTATCACATCTGTCCTTACGATCAACACATGGTAATTTCGTCTTTCCCTTCTCCTGATATTACCCTCAATGTGAACCATTTCATTATTCCGTACGGTTAATGGTCTTCATTACACAAAGGGCAAAAAGACCATCTTAATTAATTTCCTCTCGTATAATATCCAATTTGTGCTACTTCAACAATCTTGTTAATACATTCATTTTTAGAATATCATTTATTATATATCACACGTTCATCTAACATCTACATTTCAACCACGGTTATCTTTTGAACCGTGAAATATGAGGACTATAACCCAAGGCTCTGATATAGAGTAGCACAAGGCCGTGATCTAGACCTAGAGGAGGGTGCATAGGTCTTGTTCGACTTTAGGTGATTTTACCAAATATTTTAATTTTAACTAAATTAACAACTATTCAAAAATTAAACTTAGCTAGCAAGTGTATAATTCAATTCATTCAACATCTACATTTCAATCACGCTTATCTTTTGAACCGTGAAATATGAGGACTATAACCCGAGGCTCTGATATAGAGTAGCACAAGGCCATGATCTAGACCTAGAGGAGGGTGTATAGGTCTTGTTCGATTTTAGGTGATTTTACCAAATATTTTAATTTTAACTAAATTACCAACTATTCAAAAATTAAACTTAACTAGCAAGTGTATAATTCAATTCATTCATCATGATTAAAAAGCATGTAAATACCTATAAACTAAAATAAGCAACCACATAATGAACATAGAATTTTTTACGTGGAAACTCTAAGGGAAAAACCCCGAGACCTAATCTAGACAGATCAAAGTTTAAAACTAGATTAACTTATCAAAAAAAAAAAAAAAAAGTTTAAAACTAGATTAACAATTTCCCAAACCCTAAGAAAATCCCTAGTGGTGCTCCAGATACAGATTGACACGAAACTCCCCACTCGAGTCTCCAAACTCACGCGATCCACTTCTTCACAAGCATTTTGATCTCCTCAGCTAGTCATCAAGGCAGTGTCTTCTGGTGTGGAACTCCTTGTTCATGTTGAAGTCCCCATAAGCACATCACAAGTTGGTGATCAGACATATACTCACCAATCTATATCGAATGAAAGAAACAAAATTTGCTTTGCTATAATGAACTCTAAACTTGCTCTATTTGCTCTAAATATGCCCCAAGTAAATAATATATTGCTTGCTAAGATTTTATAGGTGGTCTTCTTATAGAGTTTACAAACCTATAGAGAATAGGGATTAAAGAGATTCAGTTTAATAAGGAAATTGAATTCCGCATACTTCGATCGATCGAACCAAGTGCCCATCAATTGACACATAGCCAATGGCCTTCAATTTCAATCAAAATGATCCATTCTTCTTCAATTAGAACTTTGATTAAAGCAACTTCCAAAAACATCTCCATGCAGTTCAAAAGAGATTTTTATGGATCAAAAACATGAGTCATGAAATCCTAAATGAACGAATGCATGAACATAAGAACCCTGATGGTGAGTGCATATTTAAGTGTTGAATTTACAATTTTGCTCTTGATCGTAGATTTGCTTTCTAAATTTTCCCTTGGATAAGAGGTAATCCGTAATCAACTAATAGTAACTAACTTTTAGAATATATCTAAAAATTAAACAAATGACAGGCTTTTGAAATGAAATTTGCCACATGAGTCCTATTAACCTAACATGAACATATTGTTTCAGGATGAAAAAACATTTTATCCCCATAATGTATGACTAATCTAATAACTATATTAGAGATTTTACCTTTTAATATCAAAGGTATGCATTTATCACACAATATGCAAAAACAATCACCAACTTAACTCATCCTACTTTGATCCTATGAGCAACATCATCCGCCATCTCTCCCTCTCTATAAATAATTGATCCTAGAATAGGAAATAAATAAATAATTGTCTAATATTGTTTGAACATGTGAACAAAAAACCAATAGTTGCACCAATGAGGAAGAGTGAAATGATCCACATTATAGATAATGCTAGGAAAAGGGATAGATCATAATTATCATGTGTTGAGATAGTAAAGAAAGACATATAGAATATTGTTTAACATAACTATTAAAAATATATATATATAGAATATTATTTAACTGAATTTATTGCCTTAGGTCAAGCAAAATAGCATAACAAGATTCATGTAACCAGCCTCAAATAATTAGGACAAGGATTTGTTGAATGGAGTTAAATTATAGCAGAATTTTTGAATTCTTGCAATCATCATCACCACCATAGCCTTTATCCCGTACCAAAGAGGTGGGCCACATGAATTCTCTTGTTCCAATCTTCTTCTTCTTTTTTCCCTAGTTTTCTCTTGTTCCAATCTTTTCTATCATAAATCATTTCTCTTACAAGATTTAATTTTTTTAAATCATTTCTTATCACTTCATTCCATGTTAGTTTTGGTCGACTTCTTTGTCTTTTACCTTCTATGCAAGCCAATCTTCCTTTCCTCACTGGCGCATCTATAGGTCGGCGCTGAATGTGTCCATACCACCCAAGTCTCTCTCTCTTATTTTCTCACTAATAGGAGCTACACCAAATTTCTCCCTAATCCTTGATTAGTGATCTTATTTTTTCTAGTTATTCTTAACATTCGCGTTTCTATCACGTGGATGCATTCTTCGTGTTTAATTTTTAGCGCCCAACGTTCCGCTCCATAGATAATAGCCGGTCTAATGACTGTTCTATATACTTTTTCCTTTTAACTTAACTGGTATTCACTTATCGCATAAAATCCCAGTAGCATTCCTTTTCGAATTCTTACAATGTATCCAAAAATTCAAAGTATCCGACGAACACTCAAAAGTCGTCTAAATACATTAAGACATCATAAATGCAACCATAATTCTTCCTAAAACTCAGTCAAAACACATTCTCTATAATTTCTTGTATTTAAAACTGGAAACTTCCCACTAATATATATAGACATTATGCACAAATGTTATAGAATGCTAATATTTATTATTCCTTCCTGTTAAAATCTAGACATTCTATTCTGATTTTAAAAATTACTAGGAGAGAGAGAGAGAGAGAAGAAGAAGAAGAAGAAGTGGGAAATGGTTAAGGAAACGATAGATGATACATGGTCCAAAGATGCAACAACAAACGGGAAAATTGGAGAATTGGAAGTTTGTGTATGAAACTTGTTAAATAACGTCAATAAACCTACATAAACAATTACAAAACTGGCACGGTAAATTTAAATATTAATCATGAAATAATTACGGAATTGTAAGAAATTTATATTGTTGAAAAAGGAAAAACTTTTAGAATTATATAAAATTAGGAAAATTTGTAAGAAATGGGAAATTCTTGTAATTTTCCCTAGCATTTCTTTTCTTCCTTCTTTTTGTGTGTGTGTGTGTGTGTGTGTGTGTGGAAATGAATTTTTTAAGAGTTTCTGGGCAACTTTCAAGGAGTTTCTCTAGAGCTTCTAGTGACATTCCCAAAATGTTTCCGAGCATTTTTTTCTTAACTTTCATCTAGGTTTTTGAAGAAGTCTCCAACAATATAGAGTCTATAAATTGGAAGCAAGTTAGTGGTAGGCTGGATAACAACAACTATGGTTTTTAATACCTAGTGCCAATTATAGATGAACACCTCTTACTACTCCCTGAACATTTTGCCAACTTCCTCAATAGGTCACCATCATAATTACTTATTAAGTTCCATAGTTTCCGACTTTCCGGTAACGTTTCCAATGCCCTTTCATCTCGCCCTTTCTTATAATGTTTATATTCCTCACCCCAATTCGGTAACTATTTCAGATAACATTCAGAAACATTGAGCCAGCGCAAGGTGGATAGGAAAATAAAAATGTCTATATCTTAGGAAATGAATGAATTACAAAACAGTGCATCTTCAGTTGCATTATAGTTTTTATACTGCTATGACTGCATTTATAAATTGACAAAGCAGGGAAAGTAGTAACAAGACATGAAATTGAAAATCACCTATAAATCCGCCACGGCCGCCAATTTACCGCCCAGAGTATAGAAAAAGAAGAAGAACCCAAAATAGAGAAAAGGGTCCCGGAAATCACGCAAGCCAACATAAGTTTATGCTCATCCCCCTCCATGGCTTCTCTGAACCCCTTTCCCTCAACTACAACATATAAACATCATAATCAACAAAACCAAAAACGCTATCTTTTTCAACCAAAAAAAAGAATAAATACAAACCCGGATCAAAAACAAGAATTAAAGACAGCCCAATTCAATTCACACATTCTCTGTTCACACTAAGGGGAGAACAAAGAACAGAACGAACTGATACGAAAAGTAACGCATGAAAAATGTAAATGGCTGTACCTACTTTACTGAAGTAGTCTGAGCTGCACGGAACATGTCGATGATTTCTAGGGCAAAATTGCAGCCATTCTTGTACAGAGTTCAGCTCTGGAATCTAGGGCTTTCATCAGATAAAAGAAGCACAATCTAGGTTGTCTACGAATTTAGAGAGAGAGAGTAGAGATAGAGAGAAGAACTGGTTTTATCTTCTTGCTGTTGTTTGAGATTGTTTTCGGTCAATAGAGAATTCGCAAAAGATTAAAAACCTACACACACTGAGGAGAAGTAAAAAGGGACTTTGGGGAGTATAGAGAGAGAGAGAGGGGAGAGTCAGTGGGAAATGAGTAAAGAAACGAGTGTGGATATAAATTTGTGAGATGTTAGTGGTTGTAAATAATAAAATAACAGCTGTGTTACCTGTGTTTTATGTCTGAGAATATACTATAGCCACGATTCATATTCGGCGCGTGCACTTTACGCCACAATCAATAATAAGATTTTATTCTCCATTTTTTTAGACTTTTAAAAATACACAAATAAACCCGTTACAATAATAATGTTCTTACATCACTCAATCTTCATTATTATCATTCTTATCTTTATTTTCGAAGTCGAGTAGACTACGCGAATTTTGTTATTGAGACTACAAGACTCTATTTTTAAGATTTTCATTCTTGTCTTTATCCCGAAATCGAGTAGACCGCGTGAATTCTCTTTTTCATTCTATTATAAATTATCTCTTACAAGAATTACTCACGTGATATGTTCATATAACATTAAGTCAATGTCCACAGTAATAATGATATAATAAATTTATAATAACTTTCTTAAATTTTAAAATGGTTGAAAAAAGTTCTATCATTTTTCAAGAATTACACGTGAAAGTTAATATTTACTCGGTATGAGAAACTATCTTTGTGTTTTCATTATTTAAAGAAAAATTAAAATAAATTCTTAAAAATAAAATAACTAGACAAATATTTTATTCAGAATCAAAGGTTAAATAAGTGAAGGGAAATAGGAATTTTATAATGGGTATTATTCAAATTTCCTTTTATTTTTTATTTTGTGAAAAATCAATGTTCCATTTTTCAACTTTCTTTTACATATATGATTTTTTAAAATGTAGACAAGTCATTAAAAACTCATCCTTAGACAATCCTTTTTTAATTTAAACACATCCTGAGTTGACGATTTCTGTCTTTCCATTAAAAAATATATATTTTACATCATTTAATGTGCTTTGTTGGAGAATTTGCTTTCAATTATGGATTACTATCCCTTAAATTTTCAAAAGATAAAAGATAAAAAAATAAAAACATCTTCAATTTTGTAGATTACCTCCTTGAGCTTTTGTTTTTGTACAAAACGTCATTACACTATTAAGAAATGTTGTAAATCACCCTTTTATATCCATTTATTGACCCGCGATGTACATGGAATATGGATATATATAAACGGGTTACCAATTGGGATCTAATAACCCACCCATATTGGGTGTGAATAAATGAGCTGGAGAGCAGCAATATATTAATGTCATAACAAGTCTGCTGCTCAAACTAGTGGTTGGATTGATGGTGTTCTTTCATCTTGTAAAAAAAATAAAATAAATAAATAAAAATTTGGTTGTCTTTGTTGGTTCTGATTTTTGGCTGCAAGTATTCTCTCTCTATATTGTCACGGTGACTCGATCATAAGTCAAATAAGGCGTCTGTCTAAGACCTCCAATGAAAGAAGAAACCCCACCTCTCATTATATTAATTATATATTTCATAAGTTAATCAAAGTAGAAATCAAAAGCCCGATAACGGGAGAAGAGATTTCACGTCTCATTATATTAGTTAGGAGGTTATATATCTCATAAGGTAATTAAGGCGGTAGTCTAAAGCCCCCAATGAGAGGAGGGCCCATAGCGCTCCACCAATATCCTCTAGCCTCCACTCTTTTATTTTCTTAAAATAAAATTACAAAAAAATCATTCCATATACAATACTTGATTATTACCTTTTCAATACCATAATTATCCTCCTCTATTAAGTTTAGTGGACACTTTGAATCGAATTCCCTAATCATTCATGTTCTTGGATTGAAATCTGATCACACATCTCTAAGTGAAACTGAGGCGACCATTGTTCCAGAGAAAAAAACAGGGCTGTAGTCTTTGTGCCCAAATGATTTAAAGTGCAAAACATCTTTATATTTGTTTTGGGGAAATTTATTTGAGGCTCAATTGAACTATAAATCTAATCGTGTAACGAAGAACTTATGATATAAATCTTTCAATCTAATAGTCTAAGTAAACTAATCTTGTGAAGAGATTAGCAAAAAAAAAATAAAGCTTCCATTGCAGTTATAGAGTTTAAGTTTGTCTTTGATTGTTTTTGTGGTTGTCTACAGTCTACCCAGTGTTTGATAGAATTTTTCATTGCCAACCTTATATTTTGATGTAGATAATTGTTATCATCAGAACTTTAATCAAGCCTTTTGAAGGGACTTTTAACTGGCCTAAATAGGTTGTTGTTTTGTCTTTATTTGCACTTTTATGGTTATATATATAATGCATATATATATAATGATTGGTCCTACGAATTGTTTACATGTAATTGGTATATGGTTTTCACTTTTCACACCACTCCGATTTCGTGACATGAGGTTGTGAACCCCACATGTATTTACTACTATCTATCTAGGTTTCAAACATTTCTAAAGAAGTCAGACCAAAACAACCTTGTTAATGCAATTATTGACAACCATTGGTTATCAGGAATAAAAGGCTACCAGTTAATTAAATGCAATATGTGAGTTAATTGCATCACCAAGGATTTGTTTACAAATTCGTGAAAGTTAGAGGAGTTTTTCTACTGTTTATTCATTTTTGGCAACGGTTTCTCTTTCCTATTTTTTGCTTCTGCAGATAAAGTAAAAGCACCAAACATGTTTGATAACGTTTACTATAGTATTTGTTGTGATTTGAATAATATCAAAGAACTTTCAAAAAATAAATTAAAATCAAAGCACCAAATTGATGCTTTTGATTACCTCCGCACGGTTGTAATACCATTGTTCAAAAAAATTAAATAAATAAAACTTTTTGTTTTGGATTAAAATAAAAGCACAAAATAACAATTTATCAAATATATATGTGTGTGTATATATATATATACACACACATACATAAAGTAATTGTGGTTGTCAAAAGGAGCGTTGGGCATACCAACAATAGTTTACATAACCAAATCACAAGACGAAATGCCAAATCAATAGATAATTCAAAATTTGTATACCAAAGGAATGATAAACACGAAAAGGGTAATGTAATGAAACAATTAGGAATTTAGGGATAAACAAAGGGATCACAACGAAATATTTTTCTTTGAGCTCTAAACTTCTATACCCATAGATTAAATGTTTTCAAAATCAATCTTTGCAATGTTTCACACTGTGGGGAGAGAAAGGTTTAATGACACTTATATACGTTGATAACCCTTAATTATGTAGATGTATTATGAGGAAAATTATAAACACTAAGATAAATATGAATATGTTATAAGACACATGAGTCAGGTCCTTTAACCAGAAATAGGGGATGCTTGTGTTCACTGTGCAAACTTAAAGGAGTTGGCTCAAGTGGGTAAGTGAACCGAATAGGCGCTTGCCCATTTATATTCATACATTTTTCTATTCGGATCCGATGTGGGACAAGTTTCCCCTTATAACATTCTCTCCACTCGAACTCGCTCAAATGGGTAAGTGAAATGGGTGGGCACTTGTCCATTTATGCTCATACATTTCCCTATCTGAATCCGATATGAGACAAGTTTTCCCTTGTAACATTTTCTCCCACCCGAATTCGCAAAGCCTTCGTTGCGGTCGGGTAACCCTGCCTACCCGAATGGCTCACCCGAACATTTGGAGTGACATCAGATCAAAGATTAGGTTTAATTCTGATATGAACCGAAATAGGTAGGTAGTTGCCCACTTATACTCATATTTTCTATTTCATCCAGGTTCGATCGAGAGAAACTCTCCCTTGTACTGGTAAGTCACTTGGTTATCGTGCCACGTCTACGTTTCAACTCCTTTCGGGTGCAATTCCCGGGCGTGTGACTACCGAGTAATGAAAGTTGCTTTGAGCATTTTTTATAGATTTTGGATGGAAGATTATAATGCTTACAAGTTTGAGTGGAAATTCTTGACCTGGAACAAAAGAGGCTATGGTTAGGTGCATGGGTTGACAAACTTGACATACATGTACACACACACACACACATATATATATACACAATACATGTTTGAATATATACACGCACATAGTGCATGGAATAATAGGAATATTTTAAGTTTTTTTTTTTTGAAAATTAAGGAATATTTTAAGTTTGCTTCTATATATAATATGCATACGGAGATGATGGAGGTTCTGAGACTTGAACATACAGAATACGGCCAAGTTTCGGTGGTTTCCGATGAAGTTTTTGAGGACTTCGATTGAGATTAACCAGTGGAATTGAAGCCCCATATTTTTGGATGCTATTAGTGTTGATTAGGGAGTTAATTTGACGTAAATAATCGTAGGGTTAGGGTTAGAATCGCAGGACCATCGCCGCAGTAGGAAGAAGGAGAAGCTGATTGCCGTTCACGCACACCAAAGGCGCGTGCAGGTGCGTGTGCTTCGTGGAGTCTTTGGTCGGGTCGGGTTACTAACCATTCGACTTCGTTGACTATTTGACCTAGTGACTTTGACTTTATCTTGTTGACCTTGACTTGGGTATGATCAGATTTTATTGAATTATTTAATTTAATTAAAATTATGAGGAATGAATATGAGAATAATTATCAAGGACCCTCTAAACCTAACACATGCTAGATTTATTAAATAATTGATGATAGATATAGCCACTGCATAAAAAATAGCAATGTTACAATAGAAATACAATTCTTGAAATGATTATTTTTTTTTTGACAGTTGAAATGGAACTCATTACATCAATTCAAATAAAAACCATTAGTTTATATCACTAAAATATTTATTTATTTTAAAAGTTAAAGAAAACGTCACATTATTCACAAGTTGTCCCTAATGGAACGTTCTTACCTCTTTATTTGAATGTCGACCGTTATATCCTTAGATCATAAACAATTTGATTATGTTAATAAAATTTCATATCTAGTTTTTTTGCAATCCATTGACAACATTCTTAATAGCTTGAATTGAAATTTAATAACACGTTTCTTGACATGATAGTCAAGACAAAATAATCTTGGTCCATTAATACTTGACAGATCAATTAAATTCATATTCACGAATTGAGAATATGGCACCACAAGAGTGCAATAATATATTATAAAGAAATCTCAATAATTTGTAACATAGAACATCGGTTGTGAGGGTTTTTGGGTGATTGAACTTATGACTGCATTGGATGGGACTTGCTCTTTACTTGTATTGCTATTCATTAATGGATTAATCCACCAAATGTCAAATGGACCAAGATCATATAATAATTTCTCAATGTCACTACTTTTTCACCTATATATCATTACATTTTTGGTGTCTCTTAGTTCACCTAAATTTTGAAGCATGAAACACAACATGATGGACGTATGCCTATTTATTCTAAATTTCTCTATGCTTTTTAAATCATTCATGGAAACTGACCGTTATATATTTTCTCTTTTTTCTAAAATTTTATTATTTATCTCAAATTCAATAAATGCTTTTTAGTATAAAAATCCATTAAGTAGTAAATTAGTGTAAACAACAAATTTACAAACATACACTATATTATTATTATTATTATTATTTTTTCACACATACACTATATTTGACGATGTCAAAATTATAGTTGCTAATTTATTTTGCCCTATTATCTCCTTTGTTTGTAAACTTTAGTGAGCCAAAACTGCATAAATAGAAACTCAATCACGAGATTCAATGGTATGAAACTCTAACATTTGGTGGTCAAGCAAGGTCAAATAAAGAAAATTCTATATTAAGAGAAATGATATAAGTAATATCGATAATATTTTTACCAATGGACTAGTGGTCCAGTGGTATTAAGTCCTACTTTTTAAAGGAGGTCAGAAATTTAAGTCTCAATGGAGGCATACATGGGTTTGTGAGTACCAACATATATATATATATATATATATATATATATATATATATATATACTTCCTTCAGAGAGGAGAGAACAAGACTCTCTCCATGATCATGTACCAAATCCAAACTTGCATCAAAATGTTGTAATGAAAAGCTTCTTAAAGTACTTGCATGTTTGGAATGAAAAAAAACAAATGTAATTAATGTCATTTACTCGAGCAAGAATGTAATATTTCAACCGTACTATTAACCGAGTTGGTATATATAACCTCTTCTCCTTCAAAAGAGAGATTAGGAGTGATGTTTGTGGGTGCGTGTGTGATTATTTGCAATATTTCACTAATTCCAAGAGCCAATACAACGATTTACACTTTCATTAGATATGAGGTAACCTAGAAAACCATTTGCTCAAAGGGACTTTCATTAGACATGAGGTAACCTAAAAAACTATTTTCTTAAAAGGGATTTTACTGTTTAAGGCCAACCAAACAATCGAATCCGAATGACGATACAAGTATTTGCTCAAAGGAACTTTCATTAGACATTAGGTACCTAGAACATTTGCTCAAATTGACTTTCATTAGACATGAGATAACCTAAAAAAATATTTTCTTAAAGGGATTTTACTATTTAAGACCAACCAAACATCCGAATCCGAATGATACAAGCACTTGCTAAAGGAACTTTCATTAGACATTAGGTACCTAGAAGAGCATTTGCTCAAAGGGACTTTCGGTAACCTAGAAAAACATTTTCTTAGAGGGATTTTACTCTTTAAGACCAAACAAACAACCGAATCCGAATGACCATACAAGCATTTGCTCAAAGAAACTTTCATCAAACATGAGGTACCTAGAAAAGCATTTGCTCAAAGGAACTTTCATCAAACATGAGGTAATTAGAAAAGCATTTGCTTAGAGGGATTTTACTATTTAAGACCAACCAAACAACCGAACAACCATACCGAGTGCAATTTTTTTTTGCCTTTTCATGCACGTGTGTGGAACCCACTTAGGTCTCCGCACACCCATACATCAAATGGCAAAAATAAACTAGGTTTGGTCTTTCGGCCACTCTAGTGACTTTAAAAATGACTTTCTTTGCTTAAAGTCGAGATGATCCATGAAAAAAGTGCTTTTGAGGGTGATGAAGAAGGATTTATCTAGAGACACAACAGACAAGCATGAGGCCCGTTTGCTCTTCGAAAGCCCAAATTGTGTTATTCCCTTAGGCCCTGTTTGGGTGGATAAAATAGAAAAAAGAAGAAAATGAAAGATTTGAGAAAAGCTTGGCATATGATTAATGATGCTTCAACAAAAAGTCATGTTTCATACTCACATGTCCAATGTTTTCTTACTTGTAACAATAAGAACTTTATTTTTTCAAAATATTCCAAGACAAATTTGACTTGCTTTGAATTAAAATATAACTCTTGTAATACAACATTATAGTTTAATTCCTCACCAGTTCATTCAAAAATAGAGGTACAATTTGGATATGTCGTCCTTACAATTTTTAAAATTAGGGTTAAGTCTGAGTTGAGGTGCTAGTAACCCAAACCCAAACTTTAAGAAACCAGTTCATTCAAAAAAAGAGGTACAATTTTATCTCAAACTCAATATTCGCTCGTACAATTTTTACAATTAGGTTTAGGTCTGAATTGGGGTGCTTGCAGCCCGGATCCAAACGAAACATTTTAAGAATGAGTTTGAGTCGGATTGAAGATGGAATTAAGGTTGAGCAGTTTGGAGTTGTGTTTTTCATTCTTCTGGAAGCAGGTTGAAACCTCACGGACTTACAAATAGAGAAGCAAACCATGGATCCAAAAGTTCACGGGCTTTGTACTTACTGGTGGTGATGAGATGAGGGCAGTTGTGGAAATGCTGTTATTTCTTTATAAAAAGGAGATGTACCAAAGATTATAAAAAGGACTGACTTGTCATTCACTCACATGCACACATCTCATCCAAACGTCTTTTCATAACAATTTGCATTCTCAGTCTCAGACAAAAGGTTCAGTTGATTGACAAATTGAAGGAAGAAGAAAACAAAGGAAAGAAAATAAAAAAAAAATGAAGAGGGCCATGGTAGAACCCAAAAAAAAAAGTGAATGAGCTCACCAACCAATTGCAGAGTGATTTTCTAATGTAATTTTACTCGGTTTTTTTTTTTTTTTTTTTTTGGTAACAACTGAGTTATAATTTTACACTTAATATTAATAATAATATATTTTATTTTGTCAAGAAACACACGTATTTTTTCGCCTCTACAATGTCCACTTTTGCTCATGTGATAACACCACTCTTGCTTTGACAAAAACTCAACGACATTTTACCTTGAAAAATAAACAAGTACTACTAACCCATGGTGGTAGCACCAACAAAATAAAACAATGAAACATTTTTTTTTTTTTTTAATTCTTTTTTTCCATTTGTTAGTTTTTTTCTGTCAAAATAATCTTATCCCTTCTCTTTTTCTTCCTATAATATTATTATATAATATTTACATGGACACTTACCGATCACAACTCAAAACTCAAAACTCAGGCAAACATGTTTCTCAACCAAACCCAACCTAAAAAGAAGAAAAAATCAACATTTCCACAAAAGAGGTACTAGTATCTAACATTTTGCTACGCATCTAGTGCAATATTTTGCTCCAAAACCATGAATAGAAACTCATTCATCCACTGGACAATAAACCACTCCAAGACAGGAGTAAGCAAACAAATAATAACAAAATGACAAAGGCCCGTTTCTTTCAAACTTTTGAGAAACATGGCCACATCTCCAATCACTTGCATGGAGATTTTCCTACAGGACAACAAACCACTCCAAGACAGGAGTAAACAAACAAATAATAACACAAAGACAAAGGCCTGTTTCTTTTAAGCTTTTTAGAAACTTGGCCACCTCCCCCAAACACTTACATGGAGATTTTTTTCATATAAAAGGACAGTCAAAACTTCCCACTAACAGAAAATGTCACAATTACTAGCCCTACCCAAAAGTTATAAAAAAAGAAAAAGAAAAAGTTAAGGTAGAGAAAAAGAAAGAGGGGTTGTGATAAGAGCATTACACTACATTGTATGATACAAGAAGGTGCAATGGGATTTCTACTATTTTTCTTCATGGACAATTAGGGTTTCTACCAGGGCCTCCATAGTAAATGTAATGACCCCAGTCCCCATTACTCCCAGATTGGACATCATAACAGTTTGATTGCTCAGTGAAGGTGCCAATCCCTTTGGGAGCCTTGAGATTGTTGGATTCATCAACAAATTGGATGTTCCTGAAATAGCTTGACTTGCCAAATCCTTCTTCCGGGAAGCGTCCGCTACCCATTTGAGTTGAGGTATGTTGTCCATCGGGTTGTGAATTCACCACCTCACCACCCCACTCGATCATCGAAGCACTGTCTGCCAAGTATGAGAATAGGAAAGAAGGCCAGTACCCCATCACATAGTCATTGCCAAATTGCATCCACCAATTTCCCTCCTTTGGATCCTAAATCAAAGGTAAAAGGGGATAACTGATAAGCAATAAATTTTAAATTTTTTCTTTTAACAAAACCAAAATGGACTTGGTTCGGAGACACTGTTTCTAACAGAGAACAAGCTCTCTCCAAAATGAAAATGAAAGAAAAATTTACTACAATCTACCCAAGTTTATGATATGCAATGCAAGGTAAATGTAAATTTGCATTTATTGTTAGATAAGTGGAGCCCCCTTTATCATAATCATTGTCTCGGGTCAGTCTCCCAAAGAAAATGCCAACGAGGCATAGATTCTCAGTATCCGAACCATGATGATTTTTTGTTTCCCACCTCAATTATATATGCAACTATTTTTTTCACAGCATATACTGCCAAGGATGCATTTGAATTTTGCATTAATTCTCAAATCCATTATTGACAATATCATATATAAAAAAGCCCCTTCATTTCTCCATTTTCTTGGTCTTTTAAAATCCAATGCAGTGCCTGCTACTATTCAACCTATGGCCAAGGGTGCTTTAGAATTTACCTTCCAGATAAGAATGCTTATATCATACTGGGAATTACGAAAGGCAGAAACTGGTGAGATGCTAGCACCCATTGCTATTTCGCTGTTAATCTGAATGAAGCCTGAGCAGAGCAAATTATAGCAACCGGTGGCCTGATATGCATCGCTCTGAAAATTTGAGAGAGAGAGAGAGAGAGATTAGAATTAATAAATAGATGGTTTTAGAGAAGTTTAAATGGATGGAAATTTTGGAAGCTTACAGTCCAGTAAGTGAACAGTCTAGTGTTGTTATCACCATATAGATCTGGGCTGACCTGAAATCATGTATATCATACTCAGGCTAAATAATGGAGTAAAATATGCAAATGGTTATATTATTTTCATATTGATTAAACAAGATTAAAGTGAGAAAATTACCTGCCAACCAGCTTCAATGCTGTTAAGATCTTCGCCGAAAGAACCACCCAAAACCCAAAGCTGAGATAAGCTGAACTCATTGGGCTGCTGTATTTTGGGTTCCCAAACATTTATGGTTGCTTTTGCTCCATAATACTTACCTCCTTCCACATAAGCTATTGCATGCTAATGTCCCCCAAAATTAACCAAAAAAAAAAAAAAATGCTATTAGTACAAAGAAATAATTGTCAAATCAAGATAAATGTCAGATGTAGAAGATTTATTTATATATTCACTTCATCTCAATAATGATAAAGATTTATTTTTCTAATGGAATAGAGGCCCCAACTACTCTCGTGTCTCCTAATAATGGCACTAATTACACTCCACATTACCACATATTATTACTAAAACAACCCATGTGGCATATCTCCACCTTGCCATGTATCACCAGATGCACCCGTCTAAATGACTCGATTCACCTGCCAACCGACACACGGGTACATCTCCATTATGTCCTCCACCAAGAGCTAACTTATGTTGTTCACTGGATGCACACACAGTGCCTCAACCTTGAAACTCGACATATGAGGCAGCAGCAGGATTTGTGGAACTTAGAGCTTGCCAACGGCTAAAGCTATATCTAAACTACAATCTCTCACGGCTCGCAGCTGGTTAAGCAATTTCTTCAACTCGTCTCCACCTGCTTGTCCTATCAAAGAAGCCTCAATGTGCCTGCACCATGACACGTCCTATTCTTGCCTGAATTAGGAATCAGAAGAATGACCCAGGGAGCTAGCTCTTTGAGCTTGGTGCATGATCAAGGTTTTACCTTAAGGTTGCATTGTGACCATTTTGGAACTTCAAAACTTGGCCTAACTTATAATGTGTCTGGATAAGTAAGGGAAAGGAAATCAAATAATAGCATTACTTATGAGAGAAGAAAGCAAAAGAGAGAATGGCAATATTTTCTCTTTACCTTAAGATAATAGAGACAGTGGAAGTGAAGAAATGTTTTATTATGTGAATAGAAAAGGCAAAATTGGAATTCACTTACCATAAAAAATAATCATTAACCATCTTATCATTTCTTCAGACATCCTACTACTTTTTAAAGGATACCAGAAATACTACTTTAATGGTTAACAAACCCCTCCTTCCTCCTATAATCCCATTCCTTTACTTTCTCGCCTCATTTTAATCAAACATGGGACAAGCTCTCTCTTCTCCTTTTGTTTCTTTTCCTTCCAACTCCTTTCATGTATTCCCCACAGACTTGCATTTGTCACATATCACGTTCGTCAAACTCTACTTCTTCTTCGCCTAGCAACATTTCCATTTACTCATGTCACTCCAGCACATGCACTTGATGTTGCATTTACATACTTTGTAATTAGCAAATGACCCCTATCCCATTTTCAACAGGGATTAACTTTTCGAATGCTACCTAAATGGGGGCAGGATAGCAGTGATATCAGAATTCTTCTGATTCTATTTATCACTGCTTCTCTCTCTTTCTCCTAATTCTGCCCAAGTGTTCACTCCAATCTAATCTCCTAAATATACGAAAAATAAATCCTAACATGCACCAACATTTATTTACCTGATGACCATTTTCATTCATGAGGCCGGGATCCGCAGACCTCGGCTGAGGGACGGTTCTACGCTTCTTCTTCCCAAATCTTTTTACGGAGCTGGCTCGAAGAACATCATCCTTCTTTGTTCTTCTAATGGGTATGGTGCCTTCAGGGCATTTACCATTCATGTGCCAGAGTTGATTAATAGGGTTTGTTCTATCTTTGGCCTTTGTGGACACTTTGTTGTCATCGTAAAGCCCTTCTGGGTGATAGTTAGGCCTCATCTGAAAAGTAGCAAACACAACCAAAAATGCAAAATCAAAACAATGAAAAAATGACTCATAAGTAGATATATAATGATGATATAGAAGCATGTGGTGAAAAATGGACCTGGATTTTGTGATCTTTGAGGAATGGATGATCAAAAGCCGGTTGCTGAGAGATTGGTACACAGTCAATGGTATCCCCATCTAAACTCTGTTCAATCATCCAAAATCATAGACTAAGGTCAGTAATTATAATACTAATTTCTTTCCAGAAAAAAAATCAAAAAGAAAATATTTCAATCCAAGAAAATTGAAATTTGGTTGACATATGTGCATAGAAAAATAGATCAAATGAGGTTTAAGTGGAGATAAGCTAAACCTTTAAAAGGGCTTAGCAAATCACACACACACACACACACAAAAATGATTAGATATAAAAATAGCAATGAATAAAGTGATATGGAAATAAGCGCAATATCATTGTTGCTTAATCAACCCAAAATCACAAAGAACAACATGAGATCAAATAAAACAAATGCTCGTTTGCATTTATGCTCTGTTTGTTTGGTGAGAAAATACTGGAAAAATGAAAGTACCCCACTGACTTAACTGAACCCAGGATACTAATGGACTGACTTAACTCGGGAAAAAAATTGAAGAAGAAGAAGAGACAGAGAACACTAGGCCCAAAATTTTACCCTCTATGATTTTCCTTAATTTTCTCACCAACCAAACATAGACTTAATAACACCGAATCAAAAACTACAAAAGAGGGGAGGAAAAAAAACCCCATTTGCATTTTAAGGAACAAAGAGTTAAAACACACGAGTCACCAGAGTCTAGAGCGAGAAAGTAGAGAGAGATAGACCTTGATGGTTTCCACGGCGGGTTTATTCAAGCGATTCAAGTGCTTCTGGACGTCAAGCTTCTGCCTTTCAACAGGTAACCTACCGGCGCAAGATAGCGAGATCAGGCTCCAGAAGAAGAAAACCACCGCGATCCTTCTTCTCGTCCTCTCCCTGTTAAAGTGCGCAGCTGCCATTGTTTTGTGACACCCCCCCACGAAAACAGAACAACCCAAATCAAATACCGCTGCTATCCTGCACTCACTGCGTAAGGTAGAGCTCAGGCAAACCCACCATGGCCAGAGCTCACTTTGCTCTCTGCTCTCACTCTGCTTATCCTACGCACCCCCCCTAAAAAAGACACAAGCCTTTGGCAGTGCAGAGAGTGGGACGCCTCTGCTTCCGCAAAAATCCAACAAAACTGCAGGGGTCTCTCACTCTCTCTCTCTAAAAGATTTCTCTCTCTAAAAGTTTCTCTCTCTTGGTGTGCATATATAAAGGTACTATACTAGTTATGCGCGCACGTATATATATTTCTTTGAAACACGAGGGGTAAAAAAGTGACTACAAAAATAAACTCTCTCTTGGTGTGTGTGTGTGTGTGTGTGTGTGATGTGTGTATATTTGAAACATGAGGGTAAAAAAGGGACTACATAAAAGAAGAGTGTAAAGAAACAAAAAATGCGCCGTTTCATTCACTGTTCTTCTTTGTTGAATGAAGAGGGACCGGAGGGGTTGACTGATTTCACTTGAGTTTCCTATTTTGCCCTTGGTATTCGAATTTTATTGACGCTGTAAAACATTTTCTTGGGATATGTTTGAAATTTGAATAAATATAGTAGTAGTGTATAAAGTTGCTTATAATGAATGATATGATTGTCAATTTATGGCATAATAGTAATTTTAAAATTTTGAAAACACATTAATGATTTTTTATTTTATTTTTATAAGAAAAGTTATAGGACCAATAATCCAAGCAACATTCATTAAGATCGTTAAAATTTGTAAAAAAACATTATACATTAATTTGTGTTTCAAAGTCCAATTAAAAAGATTGCAGAGAAGAAAGAAGCGAGAAGGAGAGAGTAGGGATTGCAATTTTTTCTGCTCTCGCATTTTGTTTCGTCTTTAATGGAATCGATTTGGAAGTCACTTAAATAAATTTGGTACGAATATGATAAAATAATTAAAATTTAAAGCCGATTTGGGGCCAAGACATAAACTTGCCCACTTCCTTTATATAGGTACCTTTAAAAAAATTATATATATATTATTTTATTGTAACTTGTAAGTGTCCGTTAACATATTAATATTCATTATTTAGTAATTTAAAATTTTAGCCAACTTATTTATTAACTTAATTTAAGCACATTGGGCGAGTTTTTTTTACTAAATAATAAAAGTGCCTCACTCCTGTAATTAAAGGGAATGCGCGGGATAGAGTCGGTACTTTGTTTGTCGAAATGAGGACAGAAATGGTATATAAATTTCAAACCTGCCTCAGAAGGAATGAAGTTGGTACAACGGATTTTATAACAGGATGGAGTATGGTTTATCTAAATCCACCTCAACTCCTTACCATTGCCATCCCTAAGAGAGAGTGCAAAATGGGATTTATATATTAGTGAAGTATATATATATAATCTCATTTATGCATTTTTGTATACTCACCATGTTGTTCATTAGCAAGAAATTCACTCATTCATTTATATTTTTGCTCACATCGAGACTAAAACTCTTTTCTTTTGATTTGAAAATGGTGAGATTATACCATTAGATTAGATGTCTTTTGGTTCGGAAGTTAAAAGTTGAGTTTTTAAATAAAATTTTATTTATTTATAATAATATAATTATATATATATATATATCTGAAAATGAAGGAAGGGCATGTTGGAATAGAAAGTGGGGGTCATTTTTATAAAATATAGTCCACATAGTATTAGTTTATATATCATAGAGGAATCCAATGAATCATGAATGTTGCCATAATTAATACTCAAGACAACAACGACCGAATCGATACCAACGTGGATTCTCATCCACGATAATGTTATTATGTTTTTCTATACAAAGATTCTATGCGTGCCTCTAATTCTCACACAGTCACACACACACAGATGAAAATGATTTACTAAGTATATATTCTATTCTATTGAAACAAAAAGGCCTAGAGTAGAGTGTTCCATAATCACACAATTACATGCAACTCATATACAAACGACACTGGTCATAATTGACCAAATATTGGTTCTGTTCAGTGACTTCTTTAATAAATAAAAAACAGTTCTTTCACATTATAAAATCTCCTCTTCTTCTTCTTCTTCTTTTCTTTATTTTTTATTTTTTATTTTTTTTTACACCAAATTACTTAGACCACTTGGTTGGACCATTTAGATTTTCTTTGAGTAAACAAGAAATTTTTTAATTTTTTTTTTTAGATTAAATGTTCATCTCTTAAAAATATAAGTGTCATTATCATGTAATTGACTATCTAAAATTTTCCTAGGTTATTGATGGTGAAAGGGAGATAGGGAAAGATAAATATTGAGGTGGCCCATGGTGGTTGAAATAAAATGAGGGGTGCTTGGAGAGGAGATTGTAACGCTTGACATAATACAATGGATGGCCACAAGTAATTTACTAAAGCAAAGAGAATCAGCTTCTCCTCGGAGAGGTGTAAAATTTGAAAATATTGCAAAAGAGATTACTCCCTTCGTTCTTTTTTTTGTTGTTCGTTTCGTAAACTGTGAGGAACAATTTACTTACAGTTTACGAAACGAATAACAAAAAAGTGACGGAGGGAGTACAATATAACTACTTGAACAATTAAATATAAAATAAACTATAATTACTTTATTTCTAGTTTAGATTTGTTACATTCGTCTTTCTTGTATTTTGACATATTACGATTACTCCCTTTCTAGTTTGCACCGCCAATGACATTACCTGGTCAACAATTGTGTGACCAAATTTAAAGATTTATATGACAAAAATACTCATAAATGTTTGTAAATACACTTTTATTAGGTTTATATAATAGCAAGGGCATAAGGGTAATCTCACATGTCAAAATGAGGTAATTGTAAACATATAAGTTTCATTGTCATTTAATTGATTATCTAAAATTTTCCTAAGTTGATGGTGAAAGGGAGATAGAGAAAGATAAATATTGAGGTGGAGCATAGTGATTGAAATAAAATGAGCAAGTACATGAAACTGAGAAATTATACATTGCTATAATTTACGGTCACAAACAATTTATAAAGCAAAGTCAATCAGTTTCTCAGGTGTAAAATTTGAAAATATTGCAGAAGATATTATAATATAACTACTTAAATAATTAAAGATAAAGTAAACTATGATTACTTTATATCTAGTTTAGATTTATTATACCTGTCTCTCCTGTATCTTCACATATTACAATTATCCCTCTCTAATTTGCACCACCGGTTTATATAATAAATTAATAATAAGAGTATAAGGGTAATTTCACATGATTGATATCACTCAAAATGAGATAATTGTAATATTTAAAAACACATGAAAGGTAAGTGTAACAAACCTAAATTAAAGGGGATGTAAGTGTAATTTACTTTTGAAAATATAACTAATTGATTAAACTATTTGGCTTAAAAGTTATGAAGTTTGAAGGAGACAGAAAAGCCAAAGATAAAGAGAAAAAAGTAAAAAAAAAAAACTACAGATTATCGGGGTCTTTAATGTAAAGTTATTTTAGGGTTTTTTTTTGGTACAATATTTTATATGTTACATGGATGGATGGTGACAGCACTACGAAATATTGCTACCCAAACAGTTACAATTAATCATCTTAATGATTGTATCATTTTTGTCCTTCTATTAAATTATTAATTGGTCATTTCTTCGTTAGAATATGTAGGTTTCTATCATGTGTCTTGATTTTTATGTTCCTTAACTATTCAGCCTTTTCTGTCTTATTAACTAATCTTCCTCTATTATGTCAGTTTGACTATGTTTTTTTTTTATAATTATTATTCAAAGTATTCCACTATAAATTAAATAATTAAACACAATACTAAATATATTCAAGAAATATATATTTTTTAAAAATAAAAATAATACATTTAAAAATTATATTATTCATAATTTTTTGAAAATTAATGAAAAAAACTAAAGTAATTACAAAATATCTACTTATATATATACTTCGTGTGTGTGTGTATTATTCACATCAAATCAGCAGTTCTGGACAAACCAATAATGAGGCCTCTAACAGAAAGGGATGCAATGATGTGAATTCAAAATTAAAAATTCTATATTATGAGAAAAGAAAGAAAAAACAAAACACCGTACCTAAATTGTGGGGTACTTTCGTCATTGCAAAAGATGAAAGGACGCACTAGACGTTATGTAACGCCGTTAATCCCATCGCGAGCGGGGTTACGTCGGTTTCGCCAACAGTCGGTAGTACAAGTTGTACAGTTAAGTGACGCCGAGTTGCACGAAACCACCCGTGCACTCGTAACCGAACCCCTTACACGTGTACATACATCATCCTAAAAAGCAGCTCGTGACCACCTATCATGCCAAACGCACATCACGAGGAATCTCTCTCTCGAGATGGGTAAGATCATTGGATTCGAAATTGCACTACTCTTTCTCTCTCTAACCTCTTTCTCTCTCTATAAATCTATACCCACACATCTAGATATATAGATATATATCTATATGTGTGTGTATGAGCTCTGTGTTTGTTTGTCTGTTTTAGACTTCATCACATGGGTGTGTGTGAATGGAGCTGAATTGGTACTTTGCCTGCGAGTGACTGGACAATTTTGTCCAGATGAATAATAATAGATGACACGTTTCGATCACTGGGAGTATGTATTATTTGGGTTATGGTGGGACTGGAACATCTGAAAATTGCTTATTTATAGGGTAGTCGAGTGGATTCTAGGCCACTTGATTAAAAGACTTTGAAAAAAAAAAAATAATAAAAAAAAAAATAGAAGACTTTGCATCTAATTATTGGAGGGGGAATTTCACTTTGTTAGCTAAGATTTAATTAGTGAAATCATGGGTTGAAAATGATTTTTTAATATGTGTGGGAACTTTATGGTGGGTGGGGCCCACTGCTTTTTGGCGTCCACTTACGATTGTTCTTGCCACATGTGACAATTTCTACTGTTTCTTAATATTTTTATTTTAATTTTAAAATATATATAAAAAAAAAAGTTTATGTTGCTTTTAGCCATACCAAGCCTGAAGAAATTTAATTCAAAACTTTGTACTCCTCTGCTTTTTAGTGGTTGAAAAACTGTCCATTTAAAGTTTCATTAAGGGTATATTCTATTGTGTAGAATTGAAATTGATAAAATTGAAAAAAAATAACTTACAAAATTGAACTAAAATTTTCTTCAATTTTATTAATTTTAATTTCAAAATTTTAATTTCATGATATCAAATAATGCTATAATTTCATATCGGTTATTTTGCACGCTTAGTAAATAAATACAACAAGGACTTT